CTGGGAACGACCTGAGTTTTCAGAGTTTCTTGGTTCGTGGATTTATAATCCATTTCATTGTCAACATGGATATTATTTACAGAGCCTTGCTCTTTATTAGTATTGTTTGCATTTTGTTGCAAACTTTCAGCTTCTTCTTCAACTTTTTTTTCATTTTTCTGCGATTGCAAATTGGAGTCTGAAAGCGACTTCTTAATTTCGTTATTTTCATGAGATGTATGTCTCCCCCAAGTAACTTTAGCAGATCCGCGTGGCCGACTGAACGCTGACTGGGGTCTTGAGAACTGTTGCTGTCTGTCACTGTAAGTACTACTTGTTTCAGAGTCTGTGTCTGTCGCTACATCTGGAGTCCGCAGCGAACTTCCACCAGCATAGCCAAAAAGACTTGCACGACTATCAGCACGCTTGAATGAGTCTTGCCAGGCRKTGAATGTATCGTCTATCGTACGAAYATGAGGCGAGTCGGCTGTACTACGATCATCAAAAGGGTTCATTTGATCCTCAACGGCAGACCCGTCCAAATTAAAACTCACGATACTTCGTCTTTGACTTCCACAAAAAGAATTTGTGTCTTCATACTCCACAAAATTGCCAATTAACGATGACTTTAGGAAAGAAAAAAAAAGAATTTTTACTGAAACTCAAGAATTCACACGATTCAACTTTTTCTTYAGAGAAACCTAATCTACTCTTTTAAAACMTTACATACTACTTGAAAAAAACGTTTTGTTTTTACGATTTCATGCGCGTCATTTTACCATATCCAACGCGTCATTTTACCATATCCAACAAATAATTTCTAACATTTCCCTTAGAACGCAAGCACTGAATTAACTCCATATTCTTTTAGAAATTCAACACGCGAAATACATGTAACAGTAACAGTAGTTTGAAAAAAAGTAGATATTTCATGGGCGCGCGGAGATACGGATTTTATCTTCGAGTGTTGAAGAGATCTCTCGCGAGTGAGCGTAGCGAAAGAGAATTACTTATTTCCCGAATCTTTTTAAACGAGAAGCATTCAACAGCAATTGCGTTTAAACATCCCATTTCTCTAACAAATGTACATAGAATATTTTGCTTACATGTATTAAATCTTACCTGAATTGTTGAAAGAATCATGGTCAACTTATACTCTGCATAMAGTTCACTTTTCAAGAAGATAGGAATGCGAAAACTTTGCACAAATTCCACAGCTTGGATTTTATCAAGCACAATGACATAGTAGCCAATACGAGACTGATTGTTGCTGACATTGTAGATGGTGCCCTTRAAGTGGTTGAGTTTTCTCAGCTGATAGGCAGAAACAGCATCACCCTTACCAACATCATCAGCAAGCTTTTCCACAAACTCCTCAAACTGGTCAAACTCTCTGTTGTAAAACAGTCTTTCTGCAAAGCACTAAAGATCAAAATATGTTCACTGTTAGTTTCCCTTTATCACACCCCCAAAATAGAGTGCACGTCACATAAGCATGAAACAATTCTTAACTAATTAGCGCCTAATAAGATTTAGGTAACAAGTAACTAAGAATTCACTGGGGCATGAACACAATGCCAGAAAGGAAACTTGTCTTTGTTTATGCCTCACTAAACTCTTAGTTAGTTGATAACTAAATCTTATTAGGCGCTAATTTGTTAAGAATTGTTTCATGCTTATGTGACGTGCACTCTACTAAAAAATGAAATAACGGCAAAATTGACACTAAACTGGTGCGCATGCGTAAGATAAAAAATATATAAATATATGAGTGTTGTCAAAGCAAGAAGGCCCTAAAGAACACGCCCGCGACCAGTGGTCCCTAGCATAGAGACTCGAGGGCAAAAGGGACCTTAGCAGCTTAGGTACCTTTTGCAATGACATCGCTCATGTAGGCTAGCATGAAAAAAAAACAACAGCAACAGCAAGAACAAAAGACAACGAAACGACCTCCGTGCAGCGCAGTATTTTGCGTAGAAATGTGCGTTTTACCCGCCGCACTGACGATTTGATTTACTCTCTATTGCAGAGTTCTGGACTCCAAGTTAATAGCCACCGTCACGGCTGACGTCATGATCWGGTGTTYTMGATGACTGCCGGCTTGGTTGTGCTAATTTGAAAGGAGAGATGGCAGATCGGCGCGCGTCTGAGTCGTCCTGTCACTCGCAAAGAGGTATAGCTAGGGTTAGGTTTACGGCATATCAGTAGCAAGACGTCAGAGCGCTTGTGCGATATATAGTAGCAAGACTACATGAGTGTTGTCAAAGCAAAAAGGCCCTAAAGAACACGCCCGCGACCAGTGGTGCCTAGCGTAGAGAMTCGAGAGCAAAAGGGACCTTAGCAGCTTAAGTACCTTTTACAATAACATCGCTCATATACATGTATAATATGTACTTACTGGCAATGCAAGGAAAGTGTTGAAGTAGTCAACAAATGTTTCATCTTCCAAGAACTCTTGCTATTAGAAAAAATATTTTACAATTAAGTTCTTTAATTAATAATTATAATTATCATAAAAATTAATAAATCATAATCATGTTGTTTTAATCAAAACATCCTTGTTAGCATCCACCTCAGACTACTCTTTTGCCTTCCTTTTAGCCTGCTAACAGACATTCCTGCTGGGGGGGCCAAGAAGGAATGGGGAGGAGCGAAAGGGTTTTCCGCTCCTCCTCCCCATCTTCCGCTCCTCCTCCCCATTCCTTCTCGGCCCCCCAGCACGAACGCCTGTTAGCAGGCTACCTTCCTCTTTGCAATTTAATATTGCTCACAGCAAACAGACAGGAAGCCCAAGTCTCTTGTGGATGCAAGCAGAGAACGCTTTTAAGCATAAAAATTAAAATTATGATCAGGTCCTATGATAAAAATTATTGGTTATAATAAAATTATAATAAAATTGCAATTNAAGTGGTTGAGTTTTCTCAGCTGATAGGCAGAAACAGCATCACCCTTACCAACATCATCAGCAAGCTTTTCCACAAACTCCTCAAACTGGTCAAACTCTCTGTTGTAAAACAGTCTTTCTGCAAAGCACTAAAGATCAAAATATGTTCACTTTTAGTTTCCCTTTATCACCCATACCTCCTGATACTTTGTTGCCGTCGCAATAGATGTAGAAACGATATCATCGAGGTCGCCTTCAGATAGTTGACCACATCTTGCTTTTTTGGGTTTGAATGATTGAATTGACACTTAACTAGTGTGCATGCGTAAGATAAAAAAAGAATTCATAGAATTCATACTTACTGGTAATGCAAGGAAAGTGTTAAAGTAGTCAACAAATGTTTCATCTTCCAAGAACTCTTGCTATTACAAAAGATATTTACAATTAGATTCATTAATAAATAGTAATCATAAAAATCAATAAATCATAATCAATTTGTTTTAATCAAACATCCTTGTTAGCATCCCGGGGGGGGGACTCCCTAATATCGAAGGGCGGGGGTCCTCGGCGGAGATTGTGAAAATGACCCCTAAAAGGTACCTCTATTGTGAGATGATGGGCGTGGCAGTGCTGAAATTTCAACCCTAAAAGGGACCAATCAATAACAGGTCATTTTGTTTTGGTTAAACGATTTTATTTGTGTTTTTACACAATCATCGAACACCGTCGGCTCGTATTGAGTTTATGACGACGTTGCCATTTTATGACTGCTTAGGGTCGTCGTATACCCTAAAAGGGACCACAAAACACAGTTGGTAGGAATTCTTGTCATGATCACCCTAAGCGGGACCAAAATACTGATTTCAAACCCTAAAAGGGACGCCGAGGACCCCCGCCCTTTGATATTAGGGAGTCCCCCCCCCGGGGTTAGCATCCACCTGAGACTACTCTTTTGCTCACAGCAAAAAGACAGGAAGCCCAAGTCTCTTGGTGATGCAAGCAGAGAATGCTTTTAAGCATAAAAATTAAAATTATGATCAGGTCATGAGTATGATAAAAATTATTGGTTATGATAT